TATTTTTCTAAGTTTACTTTATTTTCTATATATACTTTATTTTTAAACTATAATATTTTAATCTTTATTCTAATCTACTATGTTGGATGCTTTGGTCTTGTTTTTCAAAATTCATTAACACCAAGACACCAACAATCTGATTTGAATTGAGCTTAATGTCAGATTTTTGAATTTGAAAAACATCTTTGAGTAGATTATTTACAACTAAATTAAAATTTTTTTTTTTTTTTGAATTTCCTATATATAATAAAAATTTAACATCAAATTTTATATTGAGATCAAATATTTAGTTATAAAGGTCTTAGGTTGGTAAATATCATAAAATCATATTTAAGTCTATTACCTTTTCTTTTAATACTTCATTGTTGCCTACTAACATTTTACAATCTTCTTCTTTATCAACTTTTTTTAACCATTCTTTACAATTATAGTATAGGGTTTCTTTTTTCAAGAATCTTTTGGATATATTATTATTTAATTTTTCATTATTTCCATTATCATTACCGATCAATATCTCACGATCATTTTCATCACCGGTTTTATTATCATCAATTTTTCTAGGCCTTACAGATATATTTTTTATGTTTCTAGGTTTTTAATAATCGAAAGCATCTTTTGTTCTTTTTTTTTCAAAACCAACTCCATTTTGGTGACAGTATCTAAAAACTATATTCGGATCAGAAGGTTTTCTAGAATCGATTAGATATAGGTTCTTTATTTTGTTCTGGTTATCTTCATTTATTTTTTTAAACTCACTAACCTTTTCATTTCAGGATTCGCAAGCTTTGTCAAGACCTTTTGCAGATTTCGAGTCCTATTCAAATACTGTTTTTTCATTTTTAGAGATACATATACAACTTCTAATACCTCTTGTCTGTCTTTGGTTGGTTCTATTTTGGTGACTCTTTTTTCTGTACTTATGGCCACCTAGACTTTACTAACTTTTTTCATCTATTTTTTATATTTACAATATAGTGCTTCTTTTTTCAGAGACTTTTCAGATAAGTTATTATTCAACCCTTTGTCATACTTATTCTCATATCTAACCAATGTTTTATAGTTGCTTTCATCTTCAGTTTTATCATTATTGATTTCTTTAGGCCTTGTAAGTATATTTTTTACTTGCTTTTTTTTTT